TAAAAAGACCGTCAAGAGCCAATCAAAATTTGCGATTTGTTAGTAGATCATTCTAGAAATGTTCTAGAACCGATATCATTTTTGGTAATATCCCTGACTGCAATATCCAGGCTTGGTATATTCTACTAATTTTAAAACCTTTAATAGATCCCGGGTACAGTACATGGCTAAGAGTTTATTTATAAAAAAATCTAAAAATTCGAAAAAAATATCGCCGAGGAAGATAGTACAACTGCAGATTCTATCGAATCAATATTCTATCTCATTTTATTTTTACCTGTTTTATATCAATAAAGCTGGCTCTGGTGGCTAATTTGCATACATAATTGCGTTTACTTTGCATGTGTATTTCGTGAATTTATTTTATTGATATCGATGTATAACTCGCATATGATCAAGAATTTTTCACGCAGACATTAGTCCGCAGACAATAGTATAGACATCATGTATTGCAGGCTAGGTCCTAAACATTTGTATTTATTTTTCACATGTATCCTGCCTTCTCGCAATTCTTGCTTAACCAATACTCATTTACATGATCGCATAAAAATAAAAAATGACGAGCCCAGCGAACCCCTCTTTATTTTATAAAAAATTGTTGCTGAATAGTAATATAATATACAAATAAAAAATAAATAATAAATTTTTTTCTGATTATTCATTAAGGATTATAATCATCCTGATTACTACAATCGGCATTACCAGTTGAATACCACATATAACTATTAAGAGAATGGTCAACTTTATCTCTATATCCATAATAATGCAAAATTGGCTTATCGGAGATATAATCTATTTTGAATAGAAAAAAAAACTAAGTCCCTGGTGATTGTATTTACACAATGTAAACTTTACTTACAAGATCTGGAACTATACGTTCTAGGTACATAACCTACTGGGATAACAACCTCTGAGGCGTTAGAATCATTAGTCATAAGGGCATTGCTATCATTGGTCTTGGAGGTGTTACTATCATTAGTCATGGAGGTGGTGGTGTTATTACTCGTAGTGGTTGCGTCATTAGTCTTGGGGGTGTTACTATTATTAGTCATGGAGGTGGTGGTGTTATTACTCGTGGTGGTTGCATCATTAGTTTTGGGGGTGGTGTTGGTGTTATTAGTTGTGGGGGTGGTGGTTTTATTAGTGCTGCTTATTTTTCGTTCCTAAGAACAAAAAAAATCATAGTAAGTAAAAAATTCATTTTCATAGTCTCCAATAAACAAAATAGCAAATTACTTAAAAAATTCGGCAAGTAAATCAAGTAAAAAATATATAAGCAAAATAATGTTATTGCTAACTCAACTTACGGGTAGAAACATGCTATTTTATATTGTCTATTCGCTAGATCTAAAAAAACTTGCTATAAAAAAAATTATATGATTAGTAATTACGTTACTCTAATACAATATCAGATCACACTTAACAAAGAAACTCCGCTCGGTAATAAGTTCTAAATACTGGGTCTATTTTGTTATTTTTCTGGTAAAATTAACTCCTCTTAGATTCGACGATCGTTTCTGCAAAGTGAAAAAAAGTCAACGATCTTGACGATCTGGGAATTCCAACTCCCCCATAATATATAAATTTGGATAAAACTACTGATAAGGAACATTATACTTATTACTCTTATAGCCTTTTTAAGCCCCATTCTTATCGCAAGATCGTATCTTTTAAATTGTTTTGCAGCCAAATTTGCTTGCAAACTTTTTTAAATTTTAAATTTTTCTAATAAAATTTTAAATATTAA